CCCTAGCTGGTCCTTAAATTATTCTTAAAATTCCTGTACGTGGAAAGCACCTAGTCACCAGTTCTTGAGTAAATGGCTTCTATTCTATAAGTTGTTAGTCAGCTTGAGAATGTTTTTCCTTTAGACATATTCATGCGTAGGGCCAGCAGGTGGCGTGGAGGTTAAGGCACTAGATTCCGACGTGGCCAGCTGTGTTGTGAGTCTAGACACAGCAGGTTGAAACTCACGCTGGGTGTGTGTGCGTGCGTGCTCAACATCTAGAAAGAGAATGGTGTGGCCATCCCCTGGGGTGATTTCTCACTTTCCCTCTCACTGCCTCTCTGTCTCTATCTGGGGAGCACTTGCAGCCTGTGGCAAAAACCTTTCAAAAAAAAAGAATACAAAAATACTCATATGTATATGGTTAGATTTAGATGTTTTTCTATATCTAGAAAAATCTCTAGATTTTCTCCACATATGCCTGTGATTATAGATAGTTTAAACTCAAAAAAAGCAAAAGGACTGAGTTTGGAGTCCACCCTAGCAATCCAGCTGAGAAATGACATGCAGGGGGACTTTCTAGACGCCTGTCACCAGTTTTTCTTTGATGAGGTAGTCGGGTTTGTGCTTAGGCTTCCCCCATCAGTTCTGGAGGACCCTGCATTTCCTCGTGAGATTTCAAACTTCTCTCTGAAGAAAAGCTGGAGAAGACCTATGAGCTCTTCATCTTCAGAAACCTCATCTCAATGACAGGCTGTCTCCAGAGTGGTTATCAGCATGGTGTGTAAGGGAGGACCATGAGCTGGCCACTCCATCCTCCTGCACCCCACACCCCTCCATCCCCACCAGCACCTGCCACCTGGCTCTTCCCGGTGTCTGTGCTTCTGTTCTTGTGTAGAGGAACAATTGAGCCCCCTGACCAGGCTCCCTTCTCTGCAGGACTCAGCTGGCCGCAGACTCGGCTCAAGCTCGGCCCCGTGACCAGCCTCCCAGATCCCACTCACTTCTAAGTGCAGCCTCCTTCCTTCCCTGGCAGAGCCCCCTGGTCACTGCAGTATCCACCATGTGTTCCTCACTGTGTGTCGCCTGGGCACTCTGCCAGCGGGGACACCAAGCTCCCTGCAATCACAGGCACACGCAGGGTCGGTGTCCAGCAGGCAGGAATACATGTCGGAATGCAGCTAGTTGGGGCCAGGGGGTGGTGTGGCAGTTAAGGCGCTGGACTCCCACGTGGTTGACTACAGTTGGGAGCCCCAGACCTGGTAGTTTGAGGTTCACACCAGGCGCGCGCGTGTGTGTGTGTGTGTGTGTGTGTGTGTGTGCTGTTTGTGCTGGACTCCCAGAGGGAGAATAGAGGAGGGGGTTGCAGCATGGCCGCCTGCCACCCCATGTGGTTTCTCACTCTCCCTCTTAGCTGTCTCTCTCTCTCTCTCTCTCTGCATGTGCATGTGCCGTATGACAACCCTCCCGCCAAAAAATACCCACCGGCTAGTCTGGTCTAGTTGCTCGATGGGCCCACCTGGGAATGACTCGTACCCTGACCCCACCCTCATGCCCCCGTGACCACAGCCCAGGGATAGGCAGGGCGTCTGGCCCCATGTGGACCTCGCCCCCTGCGGGTTATTGTGCCCGTGTGCTTATCCTGGTCCTCATTCTTCTCCATTTATTTTCCTTCTTCCTAAGACTAAATTTCTAAGTCCAATTGTTTCTTTTTTCCAGATCTCCCACCAAGTGGGAGAGGGAGTTTATTTTAGCACCCGCAGTTGCTTCCCGCAGCCGGCCGTGCCTCGCACTCCGTTTAGTTTTTCCCGTGGCTCCGTGGCAGTGGATGGGAGCATCCCTTCCCCTCCGCCATGCGATGAGGGTGCCCTTCTGGCAGCTTAACCACGTCTGTCTTAAACCATCCAGGCTGAACTCCACGTCAGACTTTCAGCAGTCTAAAAAGTAACCACCAGACTTCTTGCGTTGAACCCCAAATGGAAATGATTTTTGCTTTTCTTGTTATGCAAGTAGCCCACGCTCACTTTACATGATTTCAAAATATAAAAAGCTGAGAAGAAATAAGTAAAATCCCATAAGCCTACCACCCGAAGATTAATGCTTTCAAGCGGCTTGGTGTGCGGTGGGCACCCTTAGATTCTTGCTTTCGGTGTGTGTGATCTCCCACAAGGATCCGGCTTCACTAACCACACCTGCTGTGTTCCAGAGACGCGCATATATAAGCACGCATCGTCATTAGCTGCACAACGTTCCATTATGGAAATGTACAATAACTCTTGGGATTTTCCTGAGTTGGGCATTTTGTCGGACATGAATGGAAAACTGCAAATGTCTGGGTGTCTGAAGGGGATTGGTTCCAGGAACCACCCCCCGCCCCCTGGCCCCCAGCCCCTCGGATTCGAGTCCAAGGGCGCTCAGGGTCGTCACAGTTGGCCCTTCCGATCCTGCTCTGCAGAGCAAGGGTATAGACCCTCGATTGCGAAGATGTGACGCAGCTGGCAGTGCTGGTTTCTGATCTGTGAACCCCCGAAACCGTGTTCAGATGTACTCCAAAAAGGTCTAGTTAGAACAGAATAGAGTTCATGTATATGTGATCCTGTCACTTTAAAAATATAATCGGCGGGAACCAGCAGTTGGCGTAATGGCTATGTCGCTGGACTCCCACGTAGTCGACCGCGGTTCGTGTCCCGGACCCGGTGGCTTAAAAAACTCACGCCGGGCGCGTGTGCGTGCGTGCCCAAGATCCCGAGAGGAGAATGGAGGAGAAGGGATTGCGGCGTGACCATCCCCCCTGGGGGGTGATTTCTCGCTTTCTGTCTCTATGTCTCTCTCTGTCTGTCTGGCGAGCGCACGCGCCCTACAGTGAAAATCTCTCCAAAAAAATAAATAAATAAAATAAATAAATATAATCGGGGACCAGCAGATGGCATAGTGGTCCAAGTCCCAGACTGGATGACTTAAAACTCACTCCAGGTGCATGTGCGTGCGTGCCCAAGATCCCGAGAGGAGAATGGAGGAGAAAGGATTGTGGTGTGGCCATGCCCCCTGAGCATGATTTCTCACTTCCTGTCTCTCTGTCTCTCCAGTGAGCACATGTGCCCTATAGCAAAGTATACCTGTATAATATACATATGTCTGCGTGTGTGTGCGCGCGCACGTGTGGCAGACCCCATAGTCTCATGGTTAAGGGAGCTGGACCTGAGATGGCTGAGCCCAGCTTGAATCCCAGACCCATTGGCTTAAAAACAGTTACCTTGTGAGCCTCAGTCGTGTCAGGATGGAGGAATGGAAGAGAAGGAACCGCAGCCTGACCGCGGCCCATTGAGGAGTGCTTTCTCTGTGTCCAGCAATTTAAAAGTTTAATTTAAAAGTAAAATGGAATCAAATCTTTCAGAAATGGGAAGTTATTACCACATATTTTCATTTTTTTAGAGTTTTTTTGCTATCGGGTGCATGCGTTTGCTGGAGAGACACAGGCAGAAGGTCCACAGTTTGATTCCCAACCTGGTGGCTTGAAAACCACACCAGACACAGATGTACGCGTGCCCAAAACCCCGAGGGGAGAATGGAGGAGAAGGGACATGGCAACGCCATGCCCCCTGGAGGGTGATTTCTCACTTTCTCTCTGTCTGTCTTGCTGGTGAGCACACACACCTTATAGCAAAAATCTTAAATAATAATAAAAAAAAAATCACTGAGAAGGGAAAATGATGTTGAGAAAGCAAATTGTCAAATTGTCCTTCCTGGGCCATTAGAGATGTGTTTAGCTAGGCCTATCTGCTAGAAAGTGTAGGCCACGAATGCAAGCCGCGTGGCAAGGAGGCATAGCCAAGAAACAGGCGAGGTAACCATAGCAATCATGTCGGTACTATTCCATTTATTTCATGCTTTCTAAACCCAGAGTATCACCTACCATAATCGATTCCAGAATGGTGGAGGCACTCTACCCTCTGTTTGCTCTACGTCTTCAAAACCCACCATGTCCTTGGGATGAGCTAGTGGCCACTGGCATTGCCGTGAGCAGTACATCTAGCCAGTCACTGCCCACGGAGAAGCCGGGTCTGTCGTCGGCTGAGAAGTTACTGCTCGTGTTCGCACGTCATGGGGAGACGGTTTTTAAATTGCCAGAGGGGACATTCACTTACCAGAGAGACAGGGAGAAAGCACCCCCATGCGGTCTCCCTGCCAGCCTCTCTCTGTTGCTTTATCCCACTGGGATCTGGGGCACGCACACACATGCAGCGTGGTTCTCAAAGTGGGGGGCCCGGGACTCAAATCCTGGTCAGCCAACTCCAGCTGGGATCTGCTCCCTCAGCCACTATTGGACCAGCCCCATGAAGAGTTATGAAGAAGAGCCTGCCCCCAAATGACCCTGAGTGTAGTCGCCATGCTGGGTGTCTGGAGACACTTCTGCCCCAAGGCCTGTTACACACGCAGTTGGGACTTGACAGCTACTTTTTTAGTTTTTGCTATAGGGTGCGTGTGCTCCCTGGGGAGAGATAGAGAGAGAGGGAAAGTGAGAAATCACCCCCAGGAGGGGATGGCAGCACCATAATCCCTTCTCTTCCATTCTCCTCTCAGGATTTTGGGCACACACACACAAGTGCCTGGCATGATTTTCAAACTGCTGGGTCCAGGCCTCGAACTGCCCGTTGGCCATGTGGAATCCAGTCCCTTAACCTCCATGCTACCTGCTGGCCCAATATTTACTTATTTCATCATCTGTGTTCTGTCTTGGACTCCAAGTCCTGGGCAGGTGGGGCCCTCATGTAGCTTGCTTACCCTGTTCCCTAAGCCTAGTGCCCAGAAATCATTGTGGATATTTTCAAAGTGACGTGGAATTAAAAGCGGGTGAGAACTTTTCCTACGCCCCGTGTAGTGAAGTGGAGGAGGTAATACTGGATGAAGCCGAAGCGTGTGTTGCAGCATCAGCTTTTCTGGTTGGGACCTGTGGTGCTGCAGCCGGGCGTGTTCCTGTCACTCCTCCACTGGGCGTGGGGAGGCAGGGTGATTGGGGACGGGGAGAGACCCAGGCTCTGTGTGTAGCGCTGGGTGCACAGAGAAAGTCGGGGTTGCCCCTGTCTTACAGCTGAATGAACTCGGATGGAACACCCGATCAACACGATTACAAACGTAAACACGAGCGCTTGGGCTGCCCAAGGCAGGGGGTCCAGCGCAGGTCAGAGAACAGGGATGGGCAGGAACGTGCACTGGGAAAGCATCTAGCCCCATGTCTGATGCCTGTGTTGAGGGAAGGCGGGAACGAACACAGTGGCTCCTGAACCTGGTGCTGCAGGATCCAGCGAGTGTGGATGGGTGCTCACTGCAGGAGAGGATGTGGACCTGGCCGCCAGCCTGGAAGCTCTGATCCTGGCTGCGGGAATGACAGGGTACAGGGTGGCGAGGTGGGGTCGGGGATCCCGTGGCACTTCCGGGACAGCCCACAATAGTCTCGCCTCCCGGCATCGCCCGTACACCCAGTGACCAACAGCCGCGCCTCTCCCTGCAGGCAAAGCGAAGGCTGGAGTTGGGAGAGAGCGGTCACCAGTACCTCGCGGATGGTCTGAAAACCCCCAAGGGCAAAGGACGCGGCGCACTGCGGAGTCCAGACAGTCCCAAAAGTAAGGGTTCTTCCGTCACTTCCCGCGTCCCCGTGGTGTGGGATCCCGACTATCAAAGCCTGTGGCTGGAAGGAGCTGGGGTGTGGACCCCTCGGGTGTGCTTTGCTCGCTCCACTTTTCTCTGTGCCTGTCCCCAAAATGACGGCCAGCCCGCAGACACCGGGCACGAGGCCAGCAAGTCACTGGTGGCTGAGAACTGGCCTTAGGGCAGGCGTCATCACAGTTTCATTTTCAACTCCACGGAAGCTTTAGGTGCTCGTCACTCTAGAATCTCATTTTGTTTGAACTTCTCTCAATGGGCACTCCTTCAGTCTGAGGGTAGCTGAGCATCAGAACCGTGCCAGGGCCAGAATCGTGCGGCCCTCAATCCCTGCTCCGTACACGACGGCACAGCTCAGCCCCATAAACTGGCCTGTCTTCCCATCCAAGGAATACTCTGGTCGTTAGTTCTGGGGGAGAGCGAGGAACGTGGCTGAGACACCCCCAGACGGTGTCTTCGTGTCTTTCACTTAGCGCAGAGGTTGCACAAATCCTCTCCTCTCCTGTGTTCCCATACCAGGCTGCTCCCAGAGTCCCTGCAGGGCTAAATGAGAACTCTGACCTGTGCACCTGCAACGGGATGAATGCAATGTTAAGGAAGGACATTCCGTATTGTATTAGATGTCGTCTAAGAGCGATGGGGCCATTCTTCACCGAAGCGAGGCATTATTTGAAACACTGGTGAACAACCGATACACATGCAGCATTGGGAGCCAGGAAGGCCAGTTAAGCAGGGTCTGGTCAGACCCTTCCTAAGACGCAGGAGAGCCCCACAATCTGGCGTGCTGGCTTGGGCCCACGCGTATGGGTTCCCTGGTGCCGCAGGGCTTTCCCACTCGTTCACCGAGTGTGTTCGAGCCCCTTACACGTATGAGGTGCTTTCTTATTCTCAGGGCTTGGGTAAGCCAAAGTAGAAACTGCAGAGAAATTCAACATAAAACGCTTGACTCAAACACAGGAATTTTTCTTGCCTCTTCCTTTTCTAACTGAGCGACTCCGTAGCTTTCTGTAACTCGTTGCCAAGAATGGGAGCAGCAGCAGCTTTGCTTCTGATACTCAGACTTGGGCTGCAGTGGGAAAGGGGCTTGCCTCGCTGCGAAGAAGCCCTTCATTTCTTTACCTTTCCCCCTATCCCCCACCCGCTCGGTTTTTGTTTTTCTTTAAGCTCCCAAATCTCCCTCAGAAAAAACGCGGTATGATACGTCCCTCGGTCTGCTCACCAAGAAGTTCATTCAGCTGCTGAGCCAGTTGCCCGACAGGGTCTTGGATTTGAACAAGGCAGCGGAGGTGCTGAAGGTGCAAAAGAGGAGGATCTATGACATCACCAACGTACTGGAAGGCATCCACCTCATCAAGAAGAAGTCCAAAAACAACGTGCAGTGGATGTGAGTAGGACCCGGGCCGCCCTGGCACTGGCTCCCCTGGGACTGGCTCCCCTGGGACTGGCTCCCCTGGGACTGGCTCCCCTGGGGTCTCCTTGATGGCCCGGGTTCCCGGCCATGCCCACACTTGGCGTCTGTTCTATCGGGTATCTTCCTCCTGTGCTCTTTCATCCTCAATGTCTTAGAAAGAGGCTCCAAGTCTCTTCACAAAGAGCCTTTCTCTGTAGTGTGAGATGAAGGGATTTATATTTAGGGCCAGCAGGTGGCGTGGTGGTTAAGGTGCTGGGTCCCACACAGCCCACTCCACCATTCCAGAACAGGCGGCTTGACAATCACACCAGGCACATGTTCGTGAGTGCCCTGCCCCAAATCCCAAGCAGAGAACGGAGAAAGGGTTGTGGTATGCCCCCCCGGGGGGGATTGCTCACTTTCCCTCTCTCTCTGTCTTGCTCTTACAGACACACACGCCATATGATAAAAATCGGGGAGGGGGGGTGTTATATTTGATTAGTGTCCACTAAGGGGGTCCTTGGACTAAACAGGCCCTTGCATTGTAATGGGGGAGCCATGTACCTGCCACCCCGAGTCTCCATGTGCTCACATGCTTACACATGTGTGATCTGATACATGTTTGCACATGTCTTTGGCTTTTCTCTAATAAGCATTTCAACCTTCACGGTGACTTCTGGGTCCTCTGTGTACAATGACAGTGTTCCCCGGGGAAGGCCCATTAGAAGGGGCAAATCCCTTATGAGGTAGCCCTGGAAAGGTTCCATCAAATGTGATGAGAAGAATTGGTATCTTTTCTCATGCCTTTAGGATTCTGTGAGAATTCGGTAACCACTCTGGCCTGTGCGGAGCAGCTGTGGGCATGGTCTCTCTTACATACACCCTGCACGCCTATCCCCTTCACCACTTTCCCAGTTCGTGATAGAAGACCCTCACCAGTTCCTTGGGTCTTTCATGCTTTTTGGATGTTGTGTTTTGAATTTGGAATCATTCTGTATTTTCTGTTTTTCTATCTTTTTTCCCTCTCCCCCAGGACATGTGTGGTGGGGAGGGGTGAGGGGCAGGTGACTGCCTTCATTTGCCACCCACCCCTGAATTTGAACCTTCTAGAGAATTAGGCCTCTCCTGCAGGAAAGAAGCCTTAAAATACCCGTGTTTTCTCACCTAATTTCTCTGGAGTGAAAATGCAGGATTGCATTTATGAAAAAAAAGAGAGAGAGAGAGAGAGAGAGAGAGATAAATACTGGTGTTTTAAAACTTGGCTAACAAGCAGTATGACCTCCCGTGTTAAGAGGGGACCGTTTCTCCCTCCGCTCTTGGCCGTGGGTTGCCATGAAGAGTCTGTGTTTGGGCTTCCAGGGGCTGCAGTCTGTCTGAGGACGGGGGGATGCTGGCCCAGTGTCAAGGCCTTTCCAAGGAAGTGACCGAGCTCAGTCAGGAGGAGAAGAAGTTAGACGAACTGATCCAAAGCTGCACCCTGGACCTCAAACTGTTAACCGAGGATTCAGAGAATCAAAGATATCCTTTACGCCACCGCTTCCCTGGGGCTTAGTGCCTCGTAGGCCATGTCCAGAGTCGACTCTCTACCTTACATACAAGGTAGAATTTTGCTCTGGTTTCATACAAGTGAGCGTGTGCATGCATGTGTGTGTGTAAACCTACTTAGCTTTGCCTGAGAAGTCAGTGTTTGCGGTTAAGACGGGCATCGAATTTAATCCCATCCTGATCTATTTTGATAGCTGGTTGAGAACTGTTTTATCAAACCATTTTATTCGTGTGTGGTCAGAACATATGGGTACACTCATAGCGTAAGGCCACACTATTAAAAGATACGTAAGGTGTCTGTATTAATATTAATGACAACACCGAGCAGATTCGTCTTTGGCTTTCCAGATTTTTGGTGGGTGTTAGCTGTCACTGTTGGGGTTCTCACATTCTATTTTCTTTTCATCAGATATTGTAGCAATTGGAATTTTTTGAATCTGTCTGATTGAGCTACAGTTGAAAGGTTTGAAAGAGTACAGAAAAATTGTACTATAACTTTTAAAGTGTATTACGCTGATCCTCAACATCAAAAGCTGGTTTTAGAAGCACCCGAGACCTAAGAAACTAAATTCATCTGTGCATTATCTACGACCGTGAGTCGTTGGCAGTAACGATATGAAAAGCCAATTCTCGTTTTCAACTTGCTGACAATGTATTGATCATCTCAGAAGAGTTACTCTTCTCTTCATCATCTCACCAGAGACAAGATGAGAGAGAGATTTCTTTATTATGTCAGCAAGATGACTTGTAATACTCTCCGTTATTAGTAGAAGACAAAAGCATATCTTTGAAATGGTTCCATTTCTCATTTTAGTTCCAGACTCCTGATGATTCCACATTTGCTACCTTTGTTAGCCAGGAAATAGAATGTGTCCTGCCCAGATCCTTCCAGTGTCTCATCGTTAATGGGGGGTTAAGTGGACATTGATTGTCCAATTCAGGCTTTTTTTTAAACCTATAGTTATGCATTTCCTGTCACCGGAAAGATTACCCTTGTCCGCTGATAGTGGGATGGGAAGAAATGTGATGATTTGAACCCCCAGAGGTGGCCAGAGAGGGTTTACAGGAGAAGAAACCCACAACTGGACTGTTCACTCCTGGTTTTGCAGGGAACCCCATTGTAGAGGAGCTTACATGATTAGTGACCTTCTAGAACAGGGTTTCCAGCCTTGTCACTCATTAGCTTTCTTTGGAGACTTTGTCACAGAGCATAAAAACTTCCTTGCATGGTCTGCTAAGCAAAAAAGAGAATTCAGGAGGGACCACAAGGAAGCACTTTTAAGTTTGAAAGAGTAGAAAGTGTATATGCACAATTTATTTCAAATTGCCATTCGGTTCCCAGTTTGGTACAGCTTGTTCACAAATGTGTTGAAATTCTCCTTCCTGCAGCATATTGAGTAATTGTAGATGAGTTTTTATTTCAGTAAGTTCTGGTCATGTCGCTTTCTGACAGAGGGCTTTCAGAGTATATACCTATCATCACTTTCCCTAGCACTTTCAGTAAAAATCCAGAACCATCCAGTGTTCTCCAAAGACACCTGTTGGTTGGTTGGTTTGATGGGCTACACGGCAGCCGAAATTCACTATTGCGCTTAACACTGAATTCACTGTCGTCTCAGCTGTGCAGACCTGAAGAAGATATTCTGTGAGAAACGCTCCGAAATCTGTGTGTATGTCATTTTTGTATGCGTGTGTGTAGTTTTGTGTGGGTGTACGTTTTTTTCCCAAGGATGTCATTTCCTGTAGGCTCTCTAAGCACTTTTTCTATATTAAACATGTTAGATCTATAGGCTACATTATATTACCTGCCGAAATGATTGTTATTTGCTGTTTTATCCTAGGCATTTTTTGTGGCTTGATATAAAAAAGCAGCCAGCTAAAGCCTTTGTGCATCGATGATCTCACTCCGTATCCCTTATGTAAGAAAGCCACGCGGCCTATTCTCTTCTAGTACCGAGTACCGAGGTCACACAAACACTTTTGTCCTGTGTTAAATACTTTATTCTTTCATGCTATCCTGTTAGGCTTGGCTGCCAGGACACTTTAAAGGGTTGTTCAGTGCTTGGAAGTAACACCAAGAACATTGAAATACTCTTTTAGTCTCTTCTTAAATCAGTGTTTGCCAGTTCATTCAGGTTGCAGAGCACCTGGACGCTGCTTTCCTCCGTGAGCACACTGAAATATTGATGGCGTTAATAATATCACATAAAGGGTCATTTTTCCAACACGAATAATGACACTCTTCTCTGTAGGCACTGTGTAATCACAACCAACCCAGGTGCACTGAAGAAAACAAGCCGTCTTCCTGAGCGCCATTCATCATTCTTGCGCTAATACATTTGCTACTTTTTCATTCATTTAGTGGCTGCTGACACTTGCTAAGAGCAGCCAGAAGTAACTGGCATTTCAGTAAAGCACGTTTTCTGTAAATTGGTGTATGCCATCATTCAACTGGAGTGACAGAACACCTTACTGGGCTGCATGGAATAGATGCTGTGCTCTAAAGGACCCTTGATTCCAAAATTTCTGACCTTAAAGAGGATTCGATTTTCATTTGATAGTTTAACTCTTCTGATTCTGCGTTTGTATTAATATTTTCAAAGGCCATTCGACATTTTAGAAATAGGCAAGATAAAGTAATAACGTGTCTTTTATTGTTTAGAATGTCAAACAGAAAAGATGACTTATAAGGAACCCTATTTATTTGAAGATCCGAAAGAGGAGATGTAGATAGTGATCCTCTTAGAAATCATAAAATATGTTTTTCCATGTGTCTGTTTTGTTATTTTCATTATGGTTACCTATGAGGTGGTTAGATGGAAGATCTCCTTAACAATCGTTACGTTAGCTTACGTTACATATCAAGATATTCGAAAAACTAGTGGCCTTAAAGACCAAACTGTTATAGTCGTGAAAGCCCCTCCAGAAACAAGACTTGAAGTGCCTGACCCAATAGAGGTAAGGAGACAGCGTCTTTGTTCTTCTACAGAGCTTGTTCTGGAATGTCTGAAGTTGCAGAACCATTGACTCATGGGAAAAGCCTATTCTCTCCTAAGAACTTAGTAGTTCTTTCCCATCTTATTTTACTGTGACCTAAATTTAAACCCGTGTCAACATTGTTTGTTAAGGTTCAAAGGGTTTACTTTGGGGGCCAGCAGGTGACCTGGTGGTACTTCCACAAGGCCAATTGCAATTCGAGTCCTGGACCTGCTGACTTAAATCATGCCAGGCATGTGTGTGCATACCCAGAATCTCAGGAGGAGAATGGAAGAGAGAGGGGATTGCAGTGTGGCCATCGCCCTGGGGGTTGGTTTCTCACTTTCTCTCTCACTCTCTCTTTCTAGTGAGCGCACATGCCCTATGGCAGAAACCTTACAAAACAAAAGTTAAATGTGAACCTAGCAGGACATTTAACTCAAAGCAGTGCACAGTGCCCTGTCCCTCTCATACTTCCTCAAAACTAGTGGCCTTAAAGACCAAACTGTTATAGTCGTGAAAGCCCCTCCAGAAACAAGACTTGAAGTGCCTGACCCAATAGAGGTAAGGAGACAGCGTCTTTGTTCTTCTACAGAGCTTGTTCTGGAATGTCTGAAGTTGCAGAACCATTGACTCATGGGAAAAGCCTATTCTCTCCTAAGAACTTAGTAGTTCTTTCCCATCTTATTTTACTGTGACCTAAATTTAAACCCGTGTCAACATTGTTTGTTAAGGTTCAAAGGGTTTACTTTGGGGGCCAGCAGGTGACCTGGTGGTACTTCCACAAGGCCAATTGCAATTCGAGTCCTGGACCTGCTGACTTAAATCATGCCAGGCATGTGTGTGCATACCCAGAATCTCAGGAGGAGAATGGAAGAGAGAGGGGATTGCAGTGTGGCCATCGCCCTGGGGGTTGGTTTCTCACTTTCTCTCTCACTCTCTCTTTCTAGTGAGCGCACATGCCCTATGGCAGAAACCTTACAAAACAAAAGTTAAATGTGAACCTAGCAGGACATTTAACTCAAAGCAGTGCACAGTGCCCTGTCCCTCTCATACTTCCTCTTTTTCGTAATGTCATGTGGTGGTTCTGGCCAATTTGAACCACTTGGGAAATTTTATGTTGATTACCCTGTAAATGGTCTCCACATGAATAGACATATAAGTTGTAAATTTTTAAAAAGTATCTCCCTAACTTAGCACACTGTGAGAATTTTTTTTTTAATTACGAATAACGTTTACTTTTAGGGAATCGAGTGGAACTTTGGGTTAGTTGATAGACTAGACTGTGTAAGAAAGTGGGGAATACATTTTGGTGGTTGTTTTCATATATTCTTTGGTGCTATAGGCCTAGATTACCTATAGAATAGAGAACTGTGGTCAATTAAGTGCATATAACTAGAATGAAATGTACAAGCTCCCACCTAGGGTAGATGTCTCACCTTAAAATAAAATAGCTCTATGAGCTAGATGAAGAGGAATTTTAAATTCGACAGTTGACGCTTAGACAAAAAGAAGTTAGGGGTGCTGATCCCCACAGAGTTAAAAAAAAGAACAAACCTGCATACAGCACTTGGCTCCTCTAAAGTTTGACTACTTACAGCCTACTATTGACTGGAAGCCTCACCATAACATAAAAATAGCACAAATCTCATATGCTCTATGTATTCTATACCATATTCTTATAATAAAGTCAACTAGAGAAAAGAGAACATTATTAACAAAATTATAAGGAAGAAAAATATTTTTACAGTACTCAACTGTATTTTCCAATATGTTTATTGGGAAAAAAAAAATCCACGTTTCAGTGGACACGTGCAGTTGAAGGGCGGCCCAAGGGTCATCCCGAAGTGTACTGCACTCTTTATTAAATGGATTCCCAGCCTTCAAAAATACTATTCATCAGTTGGTCATAAAAGTTCAACATTCAAAAGCCTTACCACAAATAAAACAGTATCACAGAATACCGTATTTAGAACAGTTTTAAAGGACCTTTGAATAATTTGCAGAAAAAGAATATATTTAAAGAACACGGTCAACCTCACCCATAAGTATTATTTTCACAGACTGAACTCCCCCAAAATACTCTCTTTCTCAAGAGCAAAAGTCAGCAAACCTTTTATTTTAACATCCCAAATAGTAAATGTGTTTGGCTTTGTGAGCCATACAGCCTTTGCCCAGACTATCCCACTATTCAGCTCTGCTGCTGAAATAGGAAAAGCAGCCAGACACCATACCTAAACAATGGGAATGGACGTGACTGTTTTCCAATAAAACTTTATTGACAAAGCCAGTCAGTGGGCTGGACGTGGCCCTTCAGGCTGTAGTCTGCAGACTCTTACTCTAAGGGATGACGGTCATGGATAGAGTTGGGTGACCAGTGAAGAAGCAAGATGCACGCTGAACATTACTCTGACTTTACACTTTTTGATGGCAATTACTGTGGCTGTCATTCCTATAAGAAGTTTAGGGTTAAACTTTTCCCACTTCTGTTCATAGAGCCTACAAATACATTTGGCAAGTACCCAAGGACCCATTGAGGTTTACTTGTGTCCAGAAGAGACTGAAACACACAGTCCAATGAAAACAAACAACCAAGACCACAATGGGAATATCCCCAAACCCACTTCCAAAGGTAAAAATTCCACTTTGGTCTTCTGGAAACGGTGGTTAAAATGAAGGTGACTAAAAGGATCCCATGTTGGAACTACAGGTCTAGGCAAGAAACACAAACTCCTACTATGATTAAGGTAATGTTTTTTTTAGAAGGCATTCTGACTGGTTTTCAGAGTACATCACCATCTTGGGCAATTGGCTCCTCCGCCACTAGTGGAACTCCTTGTGTTGGTGGAAAACATTTTCTCACAGTGTTTTAGAAAACGAGCTCTCATGCGGATTGAGGCCAGACTCTGTCTGGGTGGAACACTAGCGACACGTGGCCTTGGATGGGTGCTACAGAGATCACTAGGGAGGGAAAGGAATGAAAATTGGAGAGAAGAGCTTTTGTCATAGAGTTTGTGTCTTATTTTTCCTCCCAGTGTGATAGAGAAGAGGATATGGGAAGAAAACTACAGGCAAATAAATCTAACTTCTTCATCCCCCTCTGTCCCTAGGAAGCTCTTTACAGAACTTAGTTTTGTTTCAGTTTCAGCTGGGGAATATGCATTTGATTTTTTTACCCTGCTATCCCCCAATATAGCAGCAAGAGGAGGAATGATTTGAGTGAATAGGTCTGATTTAGTATGGAGCAAAAATACAGCACCTGAAATGGTAAAACAACAAACTATCTTTTTTCACCACAGAAATTCAAAGTGAATGTCTTTTATATTTTAAAGGTATTTTTAATAAGCTGGTTGTTCAAAAAGACTTAAGATAATATTGGTGAGTTTCATCTCTGGCAAGTGCACGCCCTATAGCAAAAAATCTCTCTTAAAAAAAATATGAGTTTTAGGAGGGAGCCAACTTTTCAGTGTATATGGTTTTTGTTTTTCTTAAAACAGTGACTGGATGGATATCCAAGAAATGATTTGGATCTCGTAGTCTCTCATCTTTGAAGCTATTTGCATTCTTGCTTGCTGACAGTAGTTCTTTTAAAAGACATGAGTTGGGCTGGTCCCATAGCCTCTAGATCCCACATCCAGTCATGGTGGTTCGAATTCCACCCCCCAGTGTCTTGAAAAACTCTCTGGGCATGTGTGCATGTATGTTTCTTCACTCCAGAGTGGAGAAACGGAGAAGGTACTGAGAGTACCCCACCGGGGAGCACCTAACTCCTCTCCCTATCTGTCTTTCTCTAGTGAGCACACATGCCCTTTGCCAATTTAAAAAAAAAAAAAAAAGGAGAGGAAAGACTAGAACAAAGGCAGGCTCTTTTGTGCAACAGCAATGTATGCATTCTTCCAGAAATATTAATTTGATTTTCTTCTAACATATCTTTTGTTTCCACTCATGTTTTCCTTCCAGACTTGGCTTCAACCAACTCAGGACATAGTGATAGCTCCATTTCTATGGCTAGCCTTTCTCCTTTGGCCTCCCCAGCCAACCTTTTACAGCAGACCGAGGACCAAATCCCTTCCAACCTGGAAGGACCGTTTGTGAACTTACTGCCCCCCCTGCTCCAAGAGGACTACCTGCTGAGCCTGGGAGAGGAGGAAGGCATCAGCGATCTCTTCGATGCTTACGACTTGGAGAAGCTCCCGCTGGTAGAAGACTTCATGTGCAGTTGATTAGACTCCGTGTGACCTCTCCTTATAAACCAATATTTTTTTATCATGGAACCAGAACATCTGTCATGCAGTGTTGTCCCTTCCTACCTTCTTCCTCCACGAGAGTATCATGAAGTAAACTACAAACTTCAGAACAAAGTGACATTTTAATGAATTTAATTTCTTTCTTTCTTTTTTTTTTTTTTTGTCTAAACGCACAGTTGCGGGCTCCCCTCGGGAAAGCCCTGCCTACCCCAGGCTCCAAAACCTCCGGGATGAGCCAGCACCATCAGGTGTCTCACCTGAATCTCCCTCTCCTGGATTGGCTTGCTGTGCCCGACCTATGGGCTGTAGATCGGAGTCTGGCCACCTAGCCCACTCGCAAACAGCAATCTTCCTTAATAGCATTTCAAGCCGTGCCTTCTCCACGGAATGCATGTCTTTGGGGTCTGCTGATAGGAGTGGAACTGCAGCACATGCAACTTGAAGTCATGCAGAAGTATGAAATGGATTTCTTCCGCTCTTCTTAGGAATATTTAAATTACTGTAATTCAGTGTAAGCTAAGGACCGCGTGTCCCACCAGGAGGTCGAGGGAACCTCCGCAGCCTTTCGGATGAAGAACCCGTTTTCTGATCTTCGTTGCGGATACAGAGAAGACTAGTAGAGTACTGCCCCTCTAACCTGTTGGT